GTGCAGGTAGTGACGGAGCCTCCCAATGGACTCAAGCTCAACATGAGAGGCACATACTCTAAAATCTCCCATGAGACCTTGACTGAATGCCCACACCCTGCCTTCTGTAGCCTGGTTTATGTGCTGGCCTTCTTCCATGCTGTGGTACAAGAGAGACGCAAGTACGGCAAGATTGGCTGGAATGTCCCCTATGACTTCAACGAGTCTGATTTCTTGGTAAGTTGCACGGAAGTCATTTACAATGTGTTGGAAATAATTGATATAGTTAGATGTTCAGTATCTAGAAGTGCTAGAATATCACTTGTATTTCACTTGGTTAAGTGGTTTAAACAATGTAACTGTGCTCAACAGGTGTGTATGGAGATCCTGAACACCTACCTGACCAAAGCTCACAACCAGGGAGACAGCAATATTCCCTGGGGAAGTCTTAAATACCTAATTGGGGAGGTTAGGCTCAATTCGTTGTGTTTAATAAATATATGTCTATTATCCTGATAGCTGATGCTATAAGTTTAGCATGTGTGTATAATGTTTTATAGGTGATGTATGGCGGGCGAGCCATAGATAGCTTTGACCGCAGGATCCTGACTGTCTACATGGATGAGTACCTTGGAGACTTCCTCTTCTACACCTTTCAGTGCTTCCACTTCTTCAGCAACAAGGATGTGGATTATAAGATCCCTCCAAATGGGCTCAAAAATATATATGTTGGTCAGTTGTTATTTTCACTTCTTTATATACTCTTACTTTGAGAAAACTCTAATATTCTGTTACCACTCACAGAGTTACCCTGTTATGTGTTGTAGAGGAGATTGAAACCCTGCCACTGGCAAACACACCAGAGGTATTGGGCCTTCATTCTAATGCAGAGATAGGATACTACACCCAGGCAGCTAAAGACATGTGGACTCACCTCATAGACCTGCAGCCCCAGACAGGTATGATTTGGCATCTTTCATCTCTCTCACCTCTTAACTGACGGATGTTTGCTGTACATTCTTAGCCACCATGCGGTCAAATGCTTTCTCTCTTATTGGCTTTACACACTCTCTTATGCCTCAGGTGAATCTGGTGGAAGCATCAGTAGGGATGAGTACATCAGCCAGGTGGCCCAGGATATTCAAAACAAGCTTCCAAAGGTATTCGACATGGACGTGATCCGTAAAAAGTTTGGCATGGACATTTCCCCGACCTCAGTGGTGCTGCTTCAAGAACTGGAACGCTTCAACAAACTGGTGGTGCGCATGCAGCGCTCTCTGGCTGAGCTGCAGAGGGTGAGAAGGACGAGACAACAACAAGATATGTGGAAAACAAACAGACAGGTGTTGCGTCTTTGTGCTTCAAATAGGTTTGGATTTGTTCTAATTCTCTTGTATCGCGTAGGCCTTGGCTGGGGAGGTGGGAATGAGCAATGAGTTGGACGAGGTCGCTCGGGCCCTTTTTAATGGTCACATCCCAGCCATTTGGAAGAAGCTGGCCCCTGACACACTTAAGTCGCTCGGCAACTGGATGAGCCATTTCAAGAGGCGTTATGAACAGTATAGCTACTGGGTGAGGACAGACACTCACTATCACAGACAACCTCTCACATGTAGCCTTGTGCATCATTCTAGTATTAAAGAATAGTTAACAAAGGAGTTGAAAGTATATTTTTATTCTGATGTATCTATTTATCTTGTGTCCACCAGGTGGATGAAGGAGAGCCAAAGGTAATGTGGCTATCAGGACTTCATATCCCAGAGTCCTACCTGACTGCTCTGGTCCAAGCTGCATGCAGGAAAAATGGCTGGCCGCTGGATCTTTCCACACTATACACACAAGTGACCCAGTACCGCAGTGAGGAAGAAGTCACTGACAGACCTGGACAGGGTAATGAAATGAGCCTTACCATTTGCAGTATGATTAGGGAAGAGTTATAAAGACTCATAGTCTTTTTCCCTGCAGGCTGCTTTGTGTCTGGCCTTTATCTGGAGGGAGCAGACTGGGACATGGAGAAGAGCTGCCTAGTGAAGAGTAAACCAAAAGTTCTGGTTGTTGAACTGCCCATTCTCAGAGTCATACCCATAGAGACACGCCGCCTCAGATTACAGGTGTGGATCACAGGCATTACAAGCCTCCATACTATACTTTAGCTCACTATTTAGCTTTTTTCCTAACAGTTACATGTATTTTTCCTGTATATTTTGTACCACAGAATACGCTGCGGACACCAGTGTACACCACGTCCTTGCGGAGGAATGCAATGGGTGTGGGGTTGGTGTTTGAGGCAGACCTGTTCACCACCATGCACATCTCCCACTGGGTGCTCCAGGGAGTCTGTTTATGCCTCAATGCTGACTAAAGACACCCCTTAATATGGATGAAGCTGGATGTCTGATTTTTAGAGAAAAAATACTCAGATTACAGGAAAACAAATAAGTTATGATTAAAGATTGTGTAAAGATGTTTTTAAAAATAAATTGATACAGTCATTAGAAAACTAAATGAGTTTTTTGACTCATTATCTACTTCATTGCTGTCATTATTTTCTCACTAGATGGCAGCACACAACAGTACTGAGCTCTTCACTCTGGGCAGTAGCTCCAGGGATTTCTCCTTGGTGTTACAGTGGGTGTAAGTGCCAGTAGGCTTCATTAGGTCAGGATCTTTCAGGCCTAAAAGTCTACTACTCTCTGGTAATAATAATGAGTAAATGTTTGCATTTCGGCTCAATCATGTCTAATGTTTCTTTTTCTTTTACAAAATATTTGAGAATTCTGTCTATTCTTACAATCAAGGTTGTAAGGGGAGTGTAAGCTGCTGCCCACAGTGGAAAATGTAACACTGACCAAAGGTTGCTAAAGTTTTCCACTTTACCCAAGTAGCTTTTCAGCTTTTCTCTGCAGTATAGGTAGCAGATTATGCTTTATCGTAACATTTTCTAGTGCAGCCCTGAGTAATCGAGGCTGCTGAGGTCGGCATGCCAAAGCAGGTGAAGTTTACTCTAAAAATCAGACAGTCCCTGGAGGATCTGGCAGCTGGTGTTGCAGTGAGGTCAGTGAAACACAGAAATAAAAACTGCAATGATCTTGAGCAATAACCTGTGCAACATACATTATCTAGCCTGAGTGCAGCTGTAATCAGGGATGTGCTGGTTTGACTAAAGCATGGATGGAAATTATCATAAGGCAAACAACCTGTAACATGAAAATATGTTAAATGTCCTTAATTCTTTTTAAAAGATCTTAAAAGTCGCTACCCTCATATGAGAAAACTTTGGTGCTTCTCAATACTGTATTGTGCAGCCTAAAAGGGCCCCTCTGAATGGCAGTGGATAAAGGATAGACAGGCCCCCCCTCAGCTTTAAATGCTACGACTATCATAAAGAGTGAAGATCAGGACATGTTTATGACCAAACACAGGAAGGGAGGAATTGTGTTCCCCTGTTGAAAAGAGGGAAAGAATAGTGCGTTGCTTAATTAACCTACTGTTTGTATGAGTGAAGGGATCTTCAGTACTCAGACAATAGGTAATGCAGCTCTTTCTGTCTGAACAATAAAAGGGAAAGAAATTATGGAAGCAGGAGAGTTACTACTCAAGAAATTAGAGATAAGAAAAAAAATCCTTTCAATGGAACCAACCCCCCTCTCTCCTCAGAGGTCAAATTATTTTCAGCTGCTCGTGACTGGAGGGATTTACATTAACCCTACACTGCTCCAGTTCCTGCTTTGCTCCGTTGCCTGCACCGAGTGGCCTCGTAAAAATGCCAATGGTGCCCTGAAACAAAAAACTCTGACACATCATTTTCCAGCAACCCCCCCCAAATCCCAAACAGTTTCCGTTTGTTGTGATTGAGAGCAGGTGGGTTTACTCAGTCCCAATCAAGTGCATGCACCGTCTGCTGCTTTCTCCCTGTGGTGCTGGGAGTGATTGGTGCCAGTCTGAATGCCCCTCTGAGAGTGTCACAGTGTTAACACCATCTCTCATCAGCTGAGAACTTTACCAAAACTACAGCACACCAGCCAGCTGCACAAGTAGCCTACTCTTTGCAGTCTGCTGCAGCTGGTGAGACTTGCAGCTTTAGCCCATGGGGCCTGAGAGGTGTAGTCACCCCAGCCACAGATATACATCTTGGGCCCCAGTTTTCGGTTGCAGTGCCAGGTGTTTAGTTTGGAGCAGGACCGCAGCCCTGTGGTTACTGGCTGTTTACACTGTAAACCTACATGTCCCACATGCATGGGCAGAGGGAGGTTACAGTAACCTCAACTATTCTCCTGCCACTGTCCTCCTGAACACTGATGGCTTTGATAGAGAGGCTACAGACCACAGCTGCTGAAGGCAAAAACATATTAGATAAGATTAGATAGATAGATAGATAGATTACTTAATAAGATTTTAAATACAACAGATAGATAATAGCTAGATAGTGGTAATGTTGACTGATCAACCTGGCTTTGAAATATAATTTGTCATAATTACTTTTATTTTCATTTGTGTTCACCAAATAACCTTTCCTCGTCACGGGCACAGCTCCAGTGATTTCAGAAGAACCTCGGAGAAGCAGCAGTCCATAATTCATTTAGGGCAAATACAATGCGTAATGTGCCGTCGCTTTGAGCATGCATTGTCCTCTGTGAGAGGTTGAAACGGGGCAGGGTAAGAAAAAAAAAAGACTCAGCAGGCTGTGCTTTTAAAAGACCCGAGGAGACTATAAAACTGGTTTCATGCCCGCTGTTGTTAAAGCTCGGCTCGATATGCGCGCAGAGAGACGGAGGTAGGCAGAGCAAGACAGAGAAAGGAGGACAGCTACACTTTTATCCACACTCACAACTCACACACTATTCAAGGTTTATGTTCAAATGTCGGATCTCTGTCATAGGAACACACAGGCGAGACGCGGGAGTGTATGAGACGGCATTTTTCTTTAGCTCACTGAGGATTTTAGGCTTTTTTTTCTTTTCTTTTTCTTTTTTTAATTTTATACAAAGAAACGTGAGCCAGAGATAAATCGTGTTTGCTACTTTAGTGAATAGGATGCGCGTCTTCTCCCGCCGACCCGCTGCCGTTTGACATATTTCCCCCCGCGAGCTGGATCCACCAACCGGTCTGTTTTCTTACCGGGGGAAGTTGGGCTCGGCAAAACTTTTCTGGCTGTACTTTTGATGCCAGGGAAATGGGACCGCGCCAACGGGAGAGCGTGTCCGCGCTTTGCAGGAAAAGTTTGCTCTGGACTGTGCTGATACTCTGGCTGACCACGTTTGTTGACGGGACCTGGAAAACGGGGCTGTACAAAACCTACTCAGCTCAGACAGCAGCCTCTCACACCTCAGTCTATCAGAAAAGGTAAGGGAAACATCCACTTATAGTGACTTTATTTTACTGCACTTTAATCCTCAAAATGCCTTGTTTTTGTGCACACAATAACCCTTTTTTGCTTCTACAGGCTATTTTTTTTTTTCTTTTTAAACGAATAGCCTTACTTCTCGTCAATGCATGACTCTGTAGAGCTACTCCCATCTCCATCCATCTACCAGGTCTTATTGTCTTCCTGACAGTTGGTTTCCTTTTTCCTGTGCTGGCTGCACAGATTACTCTGCTGACTCCCGCTGTTGTCCCAGCTCAGTCACCTTCTCTCTGTGTGGCTCATGAGAGCACCTCCACTGTCTCTGAGGTGGGATGTGGGCTCTTTGTCTCTGCAGCTGCAGCAGCAGCAGCAGCAGCAGCAACATCTGCTCCTGCTCAGCTGTTAGGGTGCTCTTCAAAGCACCACCTTTAGTCCCCAGGTCTGTCTACATAGAACCTGCTCCTATGTGGACCCCAGTCGGGAAGACAAGATGCATCTTGAATGAGTTTTAGATAGTGAATGACCGAGCAATGGTTTTATTTCTGCAATAAAGTGCACAAGATTGATAGCTTAAGTAAAGACCACTGAATGAAAAGCTGGTTTCTCTAAAATGAATTTGTTGACAAGGGAGTTTTCTGAAGGAGAATCCCCAGACTAAACACACAGACAAGAGTGAACCAGCTCTGCTTCCCTCCTGGACAGGCCCGATGTTTAGCTCAGGAGAGCGGCCAGTGCTTCATGATGAGAGGACGTTCCCCATCTTACAAATATTTATGCTACGATTGTGAGTGTGTGTGCAGATTGCAGTGTGTGGGCTGAACCCGGCCGGAGGCTGAAACCCCCCCCCCTTGATGAGGCCCTTTTCTTCTGGGTGTGTCCAGGTGGCCTTCAGCGCTCCCAGCCTCGCTCTGCCGCCTCACCTCCTCGCTCAACTCCCCCTGTCACTCACTCATGGCCATAGGGTTTGTGGACATGTTTACCAAACACATGCAGCTGTGACTCCACTGCATCTGGGCTTGTTTTGGGAAGGGCGAGATGAGTTTACAGTAGGCTTGCTGCTGTTTGTCAGTGGCAGTGGGGGAATTGCAGGATAGACTGAGCGGAAGCTGCTGTTGGTGTGAGTCAGCCACCGTCTTATGAGGCAGAGAGGTCAGCGGGTTTGAGGTGACATGAGAGGAGCTGAAAGTAGCAGTCCACCTGCTGTCTGGCCTGATGGTGTGTCAACAAAGCCAAACAGTGGCAGTGGGATTTCAGAGAACAGGAGGCTCTCTCAGGGGCATTAGCAACTTGAAAATCAATGACAGAAACTTAATCTTAAAAGGAAATAAATATTAATTTCAGCGGACTGGGAAAGGATTCTATCCCGAGAAAAAACCTTCACTACAAATGTCTTCCCGCACCAACCTGTCTTCACACAGTGATTACCCAAATCAAAGGGGATTAACAGCTCTTGAGTAATTTCTTGACTGGAGAGGTTGCTCTGCAGAAGAGCTGATAAAGTGTTCATTCACCCTTAGCATTCTTAACAACTATATGAGCTCAGTACACTGAGGGGTTACGGAGGTAGCTGCTTCTTTATTTCTCGTCTCGCCCACTTCTTTATCCTCCCTCGGAGGACTTGTCATGGTCTGACAGGCAGTCTGAGCCCTGTGGCAGCCCTCATTCCTCACCCCTCTTAACCATATCCACGTTTTCTTAAAGCATGGGAATGAAGATGACACAGATTCCAGCAGGCTGAGCCCTGGGTGGCTTAGAGCAGAATGGCTTTAGATTCGACCATTCAGATAAGTTCAATCAATGTATGGGCTCAAGGAAAGTTGTTCATATTTATTAGGAAGCAGTCCCCATTAGTGCAGCTCTAATTAATTAATAATTATTGTTCAGGATCATTCTCAGGGAATGAGACCATATACCAGTGTGGATCTGCAAAGATTAAGTGGTTATAAACCAAAACGGAGTCATCTTCTCCAGTGTGAGGATTTGCTGCTTATCTTGTTTTGTAAACTGAAGATCTTTGGTTTTTGGACTAGTGCCCGGACAAACACTTTGGTCTCTTTCCTGTCAATATTTTCTGATGTTTTATAGACCAAACCATTAATTGAATAAATAATGAAGAGATAAATTGTTAGTGAAAATAGTCATCCATTGCAGCCCTACATTTTAAAGGAAATAGATAACTAAATAATGCAAAAGCTTCTTGAATGTGAATTTTTTTTGTTTGTTTCCTTAGTCTGTTATGATTGTAAATGATTCTCTTTGGGTTTTGGTCTGTTGGCAGAACAACACAAGACATTTGAAAACGTCACCTATTTTTCACCACTTTCTGACATTTTATAACTGAATGATGAATCGAGTAATCAAAAAGATATTTGACAGATTGATCGATAATGAAAATAATTGTTGGTTGCAGCCCTATACCAGTGCCCTAGTTACCTTTTGCACACCGCAAGTGATCAGTCCACACATTCACATTCATGATCAGCAGAGCAGCTCTTTTCTGCCTCAGACACTTAAAGATGCACATACCCGTTACACACAGACACACACTCGAAGCTCACAGGTGTCCGGGCCTGAATGCTCGAAACAGACAAAGACAAATGAGAGTTTTGCTCGTTCCTCTGAAGCTGCTGTGAAGAGTCACTTAGCCCCGACCATCAAGACCTCACTGAGGTGCTTTCATGATCTTCACTGTCCTCTGCACATGGAAAACACACGGCTGCTTTGACATCCCAGCAGAACTAATATTCTCCGTTATCAAATGCAAACTGAATGTAACTCTTGTCAGTTTTATTTCCCACTTTCTGTAACAGTTTGTTTTACACTTTTCTCTGGTTCTTTCTGTTTTTCCAAGAAGCTTGTGACTCCAGGAATGTTGTGTCCCTCTCTCTTCATTAATTTCACTGTGACCGTACTCTCTCTCTCTTTCTGTCTTTTGTTGATGCACCACATTTATCATACGCCTCTTCTATACCCCATGGGACAAACACTGCTTCATAATTGTCCTTCCTTCCACTTCCCTCTTCCCATGGGAAGTTCCCTTGTGTGACCCTTATGATAAAATGACCTTTGTCTCTCCTCTCCTTTCCTCTCCTCTCCTTTCCTCTCCTCTCCTCTCCTCTCCTCTCTTGTCCTCTCCTCTCCTCTCCTCTCCTCTGTTTGGCTGTTTGCCACATCTGTCTTTTGTCCTTTGTTCCTCCCCATGCATTTTTCCCACAGACAGAAATCCAGAGAAATTCCTCTAGATTCCTATCCATGCTGTTTTCAAACATATCTTTGACTGTTCAGCCCTCCTCCTCCTCCCACAGTACGTGAATGGATGGGTGGATGGAAAGGGAGTTACTGAGATGTTTTTCACCAGTGTCTCACCAGCGTTTTGCCCCCATCAGCCCTCTTGGCAGTTCGCACGGCTTAACTCCCAGCTTCTTCCTCCCCACACAGTCTGCTGATGAAAGTGCACTAACTTGGTAGTGTGATCATGAAAGATGCAGACTGCACAGTGTACAGGGCGAAATGAGGGCAAATGCAGTAACTAGAATACAGCATATAAGGCTTTTGACAAGTTCATGAGCTCTCTGTCAGCATTTGCATTCATTTACTGTTCAGCACGTTTTTGTTTCCCTCCAATGTTTCACTGTCTTGGCGTCTGTAGGGTTGAGGAACAGATGGGCCAAAGCTGGGATTTTTCCGTCCCTTTAAGATTGTGGATTTCTTTCTTAACTATTGGCTGTGGTTATGTGTGACTGTGAGAGATGGTTGATGATTTATTTAGCTTGGGCCCTGCATTCAGAGTGTGCCATGTGTGCTTAGAGACCTGATACTCACCGAGGGCCTGCTTGGTGTTTTTGCCAGTGAAACAGCACGGTGCTGGTGGGTTTCACACTTCATAACACACGGGCGCCTGCAGTAAGAGGAAGGTGTTGACTATGAAACATTTTAGAGTGAGAGACTGAGTGCACCGTGCACCTGTGTCGCTTTATGAATAAAGCCAGACAAAATTCAATAGACCATTGTGTTGTACTTTTTAAGTAAGATAGATTTTTAATGTTTTGTCTTTAACATCTCAGAAAAGATAATGATGTTCCCTGTACCCAGTTGATACAATTATCTTTAGGCCTCAAAGGAATATATCATCACATCTCCATCCTCTCTGCAGTGCAGGAAGTATTGTTCTTGCTGCTTTATAACTACTATGTGAATCAGGTTTAGCAAGTTATGTAGGTAATGCAGATGTTGGTTGTAAAGCCATTTGGGAAATTGTAAACTCTGTTATGTCAACTGCTGTTATTTCATTCACTGAAGCAGCACTGGTTGGCATTTCCTCTTTGATAATTGCATAAGTGCTATGCAAAGAGAGAAGCTGGGACTGTAAAACTTACCCCCACACCCCCACCCCTGTACCCCCTGGTGACAATCTTAGCTGTTCCCAGGTGAAACCGCCTCTCAGCCTGGGAAACTCAGATGTTTATCTGTTGGGTCTGGAGGATAAGTGGTGGGGAGGATATTACCCCCTCCCCTGCTGTACCTGACCACAGCTCCTTCAATGTCTGAAATTTTCCACCGATGATTAGAACAGTTTTTTCTGGACAAGGGAAAGCAATCATAGGTAATCATATAGATCCAAGTTCATTTTTGTAGCCTTACGGCTGATGGATATGTACATGAAGGGTGGGCCTGCACTTAAATAGCATGTGTGGCAGATGAATTCCCTACTCACTTTTCTTGCGTCTCTTGACAAGTTGATGATTAATTCAAACTGTCTTACTTTTGCACAGTTCCTTTTACTTTAATGGTCCCTGGAACATGTTGTCTCAGACTCAAGTATTTTTCATTTGTAACTTCTTTTGGCTCGAGAAAAACTTTTTTTCAAAATGAGCCAGTAGCTGCACACTGACATTTCTCAGAGGTGCCTACTTCTAGCTGGTTCAGGTCTGTGTGTGCGGCCACCACAACATGTGGGGATTGTTAATGGGAGCTGGTTCAGGGCTGCTTTGCATCCTCCGCCTTTGGCAGTTTCCTTTATTGTAAACGGTCTCTCTCACACACACACACAAACATGTGGTCTCACATATTGACAAACAGACTTTGGTGGGCGCACCCTCCCACTCTTGCAAACACATTGGCAGCAGAACACACGAAGTGTAGTTTTGTGCTACAAGTCACAGAGTGTCCTTTGTGGTTTCTACACAGAGCCCCCTTTCTATACATCTATTGATTGTGTAAACACAGCCTATAGTAGTTGTTGTCCTGGTTTCTCCTCCAGATTTAGCCATATGTAATCAGGGTATTTATTCTCTTCATTCTTAATAAAATTATAGTAACATATGGTAGCTCAAACAGCCTCAGTGTGTTTTCCATACATTAAAGCTGGGTAACCACCATTCAGTGTTTTCCTTTGGGATTTATGTGTTATCTTATCTTCCTGATTTGATAAGTAAAGGCATGAGATGATACTGGCCTCTCGTGCTCCTCTGTGTTATCTGGAACAGATATGTACTCCCGTTAGAAGGCTCATTGAGCTGTTGGTGAGGAATAAACAAACCAATTTGCTTTCAGTCTCCTTAAATGAATTACCCTGTCCATAATTTGGTAACTTTTAGCCTAATGGCGGCACAAATGTCTATAATTTGACCCTTTTACTGAGCGAAAATATTTAATTTAGCTTCTAGATGCTCAAGAAACAATAATGTGTGAGTACACTTGATATGGCCTGCTCTAAGTGATCCTCACTATCAGATCTTAACCTCTGACCTTTTCATAAGCAGGTCATTTATTTAGCATCCTCGGTGAATCCTCATAATGTTCTGCAAGGCCTTTCTGGAAAGGAGGTGCACTCATGACCCAGCATTAACCTGTGATGAAAGACTCTGATCTCTGTATGAGACCTTGTTTTCCTCTTTGCTCCCTCCTGAGGGACTTTGCCTCCTCTGAGAGTCAAATGCAAACGGATGTTTATTGACAGAGGAGAGGCCACAGTGTAAATACAGCCCACAATGCACTCCTGAAAATCTCGTGGCTGATTAAAACCGTGTAATCGCCATAAAGAAGTTTGAAAACAAAAGGGTGAGGGAGGAATCGAAACCCGCGAGAAGACAACAACAATGTATTGAATGTGACTGCATGGCTAATTTACTTTTGTGAGCATGCTAAAATGTTGGTGCACTTGTCTGAAGGTGTTTTTTCTTCCTTAAATTATTTCTTCCTTAAATTATTTACTTTGAAAATGGGATTTTCCTATGAGTCTAAAAATAAAAAAATTGAGCCGATCCTGCTGTTGTTTTTATTCTAAACTCTGAATTCCTGAGTTTGTCTCACTTTATCTCTCCCTTCAGGAACTGGTGTCCTCATACGGTCACTAAGACAGTGACTTGCCAAGTGCAGAATGGGACAGTTCTCCAGCGGGTCTACCAGACCTGCCGCTGGCCGCAGGGATGTACAGGAGGCAGGTGAGAAAGCGAAGGGACCTTAGCAGTAATGCCGCTGCTGTGCTGTGAAGAAGCCACATTAAAACACACAAGAAATTCTGTGTTATTTGGGATTTTGCACATTTTCTAAACTTTATAGTAGAGTTTAATGGTAGAAAAACTCAAAACCAGTGTTTTATAGTCATTTTTCTTGTTGATGGTTCATGGTTTTTTTTGTCTTCACTATACGTCACTGCAGTTCTTGCCATGTGCAAGCCGTATTGTTTAGACCATATTTACAGGCAGAAAACCCATTCACGTCAGCCTCCAACAGCTGTGTGTATATGTGATTACTTTAGAGTTTGTATGTGTTTTTCAGCTACAAGACCGTGGTCAGACCTTCCTATAAAGTGGTGTACCGCACAGTGACCTCTCTGGAGTGGAAATGCTGTCCTGGGTTCAGTGGCGCTGCCTGTGAAGAAGGTAAGTCGAAAGAGAAGGAGGGTTTTCATTGATTCACAGACACGTACACACAGTGCTTATACAGCATCTGATAGAAATGAACAACAGTTAGGGCCCTTAGTGGGGGCCAACATTTGCAGGCTGGGACTGAGAAATGGTTTAGAGGAACAACTTTTCTCTTTCTTTCATTGTGTCCTCTTTCCTTTACCGGCCTCTCTGTTTCCTCTTTTTATCATTATTTAAAGCTTATTCATTTACCACCATCTGCATCCTTCTGGTCTGCATTGCTGTCTTATAGCCTGCAGGTGTGCCTTCCAATACACGTGTACAAGTAATACTTATAAACAGGAGTGATTTCCATTAGGCTTACATAAGGCTGCTTCTGTCTTCAAAATGAAGTTAAGAAATAAGATCCTTCAGCCTCCTCAGGGTGAGTCAGATACCTCCACTTTATTAATCAGTTTTAATGTGTTCATTCTAAGAGTCATCATACGACGTAAGGGTCGATTCTTTTGTGTGGTTTTGAGTTTTATGATCCAGCTGGAACCAGGTTCTCATCCCCTTAAAGTGCCATGCTAGCACTGCTGTTTTCATTTTTCGACCACAGTAGCTGCCCACCACACACACACACACACACACACACACACACACACACACACACACACACACACACACACACACTCAATCCCAGTGTATAATGACTTCCCCTGGCACTGGCCCCCATGTCTCGGCAGTCTAGGGAGAAGGGTGGAGTGTCTGTTTATGCCGGGACCCAGGACTTGACTGGGTGTAACATAAATCATTGGGCTTTGTGACACAAAGGACAATAAATATTTACAGTAGTTAAAGTGGTCACTTTTTTGTGGTGCTGAAACCAAAGGCTGTTTTTCTCTTTCATGCTCCCACTCCCAGGTGAGCTAAGAACAACTCGCAGCCCTCCCTTCAACTGGAGAAATTTCTCCAGCCTTCCTGCTTGTTTACACACGATGGCACACATCAAAGCTGCCTGAATATCATGCTTGTTTGAGACGTTCCCCACTCTCAAAGTCAGGAAACACATTCACAGTCAGACAAACCAGACTTTACTTAACAAAAGCAGAGGGACACACAGTCAAACAGGGAGGAAATTATCCAATTAAGTTGTTGCTGGAGGAGATTCCCCTCCGGTTGTCATGGCAGTAGGGGGCTGTCGAGCCAACAGGGATGCTGGGATTAGCCACTTATCTGAGCGTCGTTCCGGGTGGCTCAGATCACAGGCGTCGCTGAGTGGAAGTGACAGGTCCCATTCACAGGGCCTTTACTCTCCGGCACCATGGATGCTATCCAGGGCCACCGGTGCTTTGTTCTGATCCTGCCGCGTGAGCAGAACCTCTCGCCAGCACAGAACCTGATACCCCACCGCTGTCTGCCTCATTTGACGCTTTAAGGAGAAATAAAAGCTTGCCACACGGGCGGGCGAAGCTGGAGGCCGGATTGTGCTTAAATCTGTTGCTATAGTGTTGCCAAGTGAAGTTAAAGCTGCATTCGTAGTTCAGTGGGTGCAGGTTTCAAATCCAGGATCTTAATACCTGTGTGTGGCTCCATCTGCAAATCTCCACACATTTCTTTGTGGATTTCCAGACGGCTGTGAGCACTTGTTTGACCTTGAGTAAGGCTGAATTAAAAAGGCTCAGTAGACGAAGCACATCTGTTGTATAAAAGAACAAACAGCTATCATCCTACTGCACTTTTTGAAATCTACTGTCTAGGTCAGACATTAGTAACATATTGCTTTTGATCTCAAAAATCTCATAAATAGCTAATACCGGATACATACATCTTTAAAGACCCCTTTTGGAGTTCCAGTGTTAAGTCATATACCTTTGCTCCCACCATCCCTTTTCCTCTGCTTGTCTGCTTTTCACAGACTGTGGAAAATGTGTATGATCCGCTCATTTACTCATGCCGCCCTGCTTTTACTTCCACTGTTCTCTCACCAGGCCACCCCAAAAGCCCCTGGCCATGTCTGACTCCCAAGGCCGGTCTGCTTTACTGCAGATCTCAACAAAATCCATACCAGTGGGACTCTGGGGCTTGTGCTGCTTCAAGGTGCAGGAGAGGAAAGGAAGTGCGTTATAAACTGAGAGCACGGTTATTGCCATGGTTATATTTTTAAATGGAGATGAGAGAGTTGTTTTCTCCTCTGCACCTCCGTTATCACCCTCCTGCTCGCTGGTCAATCCGGTCGATCAACATCTGAATCATCAGGTCCAGTCTGAAGTTTTGGATTAACCAAAGCAGCAGAGTGCAGATATAAATGAGAGAACATTATGGGAAGAGATCACACAATGCTGTCATCCAGTCATACACAGGCTTGTGAGGGTTTTTGGCCTATCACGTTCAAACTGAGGGCTCCAAAAGCAAAACATTACATCACACCCAGGCTGATAAACAAACTTACTCCATCAGAGTCCAAGCGGAGTGAGATAACACTGCATCAGCACCTTTCACATTCGCTCTCTTTTTCTGACTTCCTGAACCCAAACTCAGGACTTGGCTGGAATTCCAGGCCAATGGTGTAATTACTGGGTCCTAATTGTTTTCTATGAGGTTTGGGAGATATTGTCTTACTTCTGGACCTGGAACACAATGGTCTTTATCTCTGATTGAGCCTGAGAAAAAAAAGGCTAAGTATTTGCAGATGGAAGCACTTTCATAGCCTGCCAGAAACAGGGATTTAATGTATGCCTGGTTGCCTTTGGCATTCCAAGTAAGTAAATGCTTGTTTTCAGATGGGATATCCCACCTTATGCTACATCAAACACAAATCAAAATTATACCTCATTTAGAGGCAATTTTGTGATATGAGAATATCAAATGTAACGCATAAAAGCAACATTATTACATTAGAGCTGGCTCTCAAAGACTCCGTCCCATGCAGGATGCATCAGCGTCAACATACAGTACAGCAATAAAATGTGATTGCACACTCAGCAGTCGTGGAAATCTGTGATATTTATAGGCATTTTGGATTTTTCTCTCCGATCTTCTAATTTTGATGGAGTCTGAAAAGTGTGAAGATGACACTGAGAGACAGCAGCCGACATCTCAGCCCTGATTTGATTTATAGAGGGAAGCACTTAAAAGAAATATGGCTGCAGCTTATCACGGGGGGGGGGCCGTTGTGCAGTGAAACATATGGGGGGAACGTAGACTTGAATTAGCACGGCTGTCAAAACTCTGCCGCAGGGGTCCCCATCAAGCCGTATCTCGCAGCCAAGCGGAGGCTGCGGTTTTTGGGTTGCAATTACGGTATGGCTGGGAGGCAGAGGCACGCTGTCTGTAATAAGCCGCAGAAATGTAATCTGTGTTTTCACAGCTCAGCGCAGCTTATCACAGGCCTACACGCTAAACCCCCGTGCTTTAAACATCAGTCGGCTGCAGCTTGCCATTAGCAAAAGAGGAGTGGGAGTGTGTGGACGTCGGTATATGTCTCTGTCTGACTGCCAGGATGAATGTGTGGGTGGCAGAACGAGAGGTGTTGAGGATTTGTACAGTGAGGGATGCAGCTGTTCAGTGTGATTAGCTGCTTTAATGGCAGCAGGCTTTAGTAGCTGTGAGTGGAGGCACCCCAGCCTGAGGTCAAAGGGGAGGGAAGCTGAACAAGAGCAGGTGACCTCCACTCCCACTCCTCTTAGACCACACAGAGCAGGGTTATCAAAGTCATTAGACTGACGAAACATAGAGTCACCTTTGCATTCAGCCCTCTTCTTTTCTTTCTCTCCCATTCCTGGATTCCCTTATGTTTGCATTAGCAGGTGTTAAATATGTTAGTCTCTCCTGCTCCAGTTCATTCACAAAAAAAAAACAGATTTGGTGTCTGATTTGTAGCTGCATTCACAAGCACAGAGTGTCTATGCAGCCATGGGACGACAAAGACATGTAAATCACATACATACAGGGGGGCAGGCTGCAGCCAGTGTGCAGAAAAGGCCACAGCAGCTGATACTGTATTCATGGTTATGTAAATGCCTAGCACAGCACAAGTGCTGAGCCCAAATTGGAAGCAGCTGAAGTTAAGGCAAACTGGGCAGAGGGCCCCAGATGAGATTAGACATGGGAGCGTCCAGCGCTTTCAGCCCACGCTGCTCTGCTCAGGGGAATTGTCATAATAGTCATTAATTAACAAACAACACCACTGAAAATACCAACCAGCCAACCTAAAATTAACCAAACCAAACAGTAGAGGGAAGTTTTTTTTTTCTCTCTTCTCCTGTCTGCCTTTCTTTCCATACTGTCCTCTTCTTATGTAAGTGTGTGCTGGTATGTGAATCAGGTTTATGCAAAATCCCCAAATTATACCTCGTAGAGGGGTTCAGGTATTTAAACTGGAATCTATACTAATAATTATGATAATATTATTATGACATTAATTTTGAAATGTTCCATGCAAACCACATAGAGAGCACACACTGCACAGCTAAAACCTTGCAGGCTGAGGAATAGAAATAGTATAGAGTCATAAGAATTATAATTATAACTCCCTGTGCCTTTATGGTTTATACTCGTCTGTAATATTAGAAGACAAAAAGCAAAGGACAGGCACAGTAATGGAAGAATATCACTTCTAGCACAGTAAGGTTCATTTAGACTTACAGGAGATATGATTGTAAATTTTACTTATCATAAAATCTATTTTATTTATGTGATATCCTGTCTATACATAAAGAACCACATTTGTTTTAATGCTTTACACTCCATTTGTTGACCTGCATCTTCTGGTGTTGAGTCTGTTCTTAAATCTAAAATAAGTGAACTTCAAGAAATACAGATGCACAGCTCTTTCGCTGAATCTTTCTTAAAGTTTCATACAAGCTTAGCCTTGAATCTGAGTTAAGTTTTATGTATCTGGCTCCTGTACTGGAAATGCCTCTTCTGCTTACTGATTTATTTATTATTTCCCAAGATTTCCCCTGGGAGTGCATTGAAAACTATTTTTCCTGCAGTCAGAAAGGAATAAAGTGGGCAGCAGTCAGCAGTGC